TATTTTATTTAAAGAATATTTAAAGGCTTTTAAGGATGTTTTTTTTCCTAAGGTATTCAATGTTTTTAAGGAGGATTGGAAACCCTGAATTTATACAACAATAATCAAATGACTACATATTGAAACTTTATCAGCAAACATTGTTAAAGTGGATTTTCAGTGGACCTATAAAGGCATTCTGAGCAGTTAAATAGACTCATCGTTTACTTAGTAAATTACTAAAGTGTTAACTCGTCGTTTACTTTGTAAATTACTAAAGTAGCCAGCCGATAACATTCCAACAAGTGATATAGTGGTTACTCCTGTTATCCACTTTTGGCTGCTGCCACTAATGGTCCATTAAGTATATGATGACGAAAACTGCAACCACCTACAAAATCTATATAGACCCAGTGAAATTCCTCTTTAAATGTTTGCTGTGTTATATATATTTTTAATAAATGTTAAAACTAAAAACCATAAATAATCAAAACTTCATTCACATAGAAATAAATATCATCTCTTTTCCATCTTTAAATACATTTTTCTCATTCTAATTTGATGTTGGATAAGTTACTATAAAATAAATTTTATCAATAATAAATATAACTATTGATTTTAATTATAATTATTCATTTGGAAATTTTAAAGAACGAAAAATAAAATAGCGAATTTAATTACATCTATCTTTAAAGGGTTGTTTAAAACAGATTTTGAAATATCTGGTACAACTAATGCTTTTATTCTTTAGTGTGACTTTTTTTTTTTTGGAAAAAGATTCAAATGAGTTTAATTTAAAAAACAAAACCAGTCGTAACAGTTGATTTATATAAGAGATGAGTGTGTAAAAAATTTATTTAATAAACACAGTTATTCCTTCATAAGTTTCATTTCACTACAATAAATGCCAACTATAAAAATATTAAAATAATCAAAGCAAGCTATAATTGGCCATAATTCTTTACTAGAGAATTTAAGTAAAGGTAAACCATTATAAAGCTCAAAAAAAAAAAAAAAAAATGTTCTTAAATCTTGCCTGTATTTCAAAATGAGAGTAATTGTATTTCAAAATAAGAGTAATGTTTATCTTAAAGATGCAGAGGAATTTTTAATGTTATCTTAAAGATGCAGAGTAAGTTTTAACATGGTTCTTGATATAGTATATCAAGATATATATATAGGTATATACCTGATACTTGATATACAATATCAAGAACCAGGTATATACCTACTATATATAGTATACCATATACTCAGTTTTAAACTATTTCTTCCAATATCTTTGTTAATATTAACACGAATTTCAAGTAATTAAATATATAAAAAGCATATGTTTTGATTTAATAAAGCATTCTGGATCTTTTTTGGACGAAAAATTTTTTGGACGCGAAAAAGACGTTCAAAAGACGTTAAGAATTTAAATAGGACGGGCAGACGCTAATTAAACGTCCAAAGGACGTCTTTTTTACGTCCTGTGCCCACTGGGTCAATATGATGACCATACTTGTGTAAAACTAAAAATAAATGTTTATCACTTGCATTTCTAATTATTCTGTGTCTCAAAATCTATTTGGCAATCTCTGTAACAAGTACTTCATCATAAGGACCTTCATCATCATTTATAGGAACCTAGGAGTCTTGATCAGAAATCTCAGTTTCAGAAGTATCTTTATAATCAGACACAAAATCAAGGTTACTATAGCTCTCAATTTTAATATTTTAAAAATCAATGCAACTCTCGACGTCGTTGATATTGGATATAACCTGCAATGCGTTATCAACTTCTTCATTCACAAGTATATTATTTAAGGCTTTATTACTTTAGCGCCATTCCCTCAAGTATTGATTTATCTCTTATTTATTTATTCATTTTTATTATTCTAAAATGAACATAAATTTTAGTAGTTTTAACAATTAAAAGAATATAATGAAAACTGAACGCAATGAAAAAAAATAATAATAAGAAACCTAAATTTTTATTAATAAAAAAAAGGTAAAAACTTTTTTATACGAGATATTATTCTTATATTTCCTAAATTTTGAAGAGTTAATATTCTTATACTTTCATTAAAATATGTTTGAACAAAGAAAATTTTTAACTGGCTAGCTCATTAATCTCAAAAAGTTAAATATTTGTAAATAAGTGTTGTAATTAAAACTATAAATTTGAATGTTTGTTTCATAATTGAAATCCTAAAGTTAAAAGTTTTACTAATTAATAATAATTAGTAGTAATAATTGTGCCGGAAAAAAAAACTGTAAATAATTTTTGGAAAGACAGTAAGAGCATTTGCTAGCCTGGATTAGGTATGGTTATTTAGGCTAAAGTAAAAACTAGCTTAAAAAAATATCTGAAAATAAAAACAAACAACATAGTAATAATATAGTAATAAATAGTTAAAATATGAATATACAAGAAGACTTCAGGTATAGTATATGCTATAAATATATAAAAAGAAACTAAAAAATAATAAATATAATTGCTTAACAATTGCTTGCATTACATATTGTTTTGCATTACATATTGCTTGCTATACATATTGTTTGACATTTATTTACCAATGGAGAGGTATTTTCAATACTTACAATACGATCATTTATTTGAGCTTTTGTTAAAGACTCTCTATACTTTTTATAAATTAAAGTTTTAAAATACATTTTATATTACTTACTTTATAATTTAATTTTTTTAAACATTTAATGCATAGCAGATGCTTGTTGAATATGTTTGAAAAATTAACCTTCCAGTTTCAAATCAATAATACACTTACGTTGCTTGTCAAAATATAAGCAAAGTGACCAGTACATTGAATTTCATTTTCAACAGTTAATTTAATTTCAAATATAATACTATATTGCTCAAAGTGATTAACTATGAGAATCAAAGGGTTGTATTAACAGCTTTAATTGCATGAGCATTAAGCTCTATATTCCGATTTGATATTCGTTTGTAATTCCCTCGCATTTAAAGTAAAATATTCGACATATTACTCCTTCTTATTATTAAAAAATCTAAACTTAGCAATAAATTTTGATTCTGTTAAAGCAATATAAAATAGTTGCACAAAAGCTTAAAATGAGAATAAACGAAGAAAAATTATAATAATAAATACCCTAATACAAATATTTCATTCCGTCACTGATGATAATATGAAAATATTTTTCTGGGTAATTATCTCAGCATTAATTATAATATATGTATTATCAAAATTTTAAAATTAAAGTTGAAACACATTTAAATGGTATTGAAACTAGTATTTATGGTTGATCTGAAAAGAACGGTAAGTAAATACTGCTTTAAAATATTTATTCAGAAATACAATACTTACTGTTAAACATTTATTCAACAAGCAGGGTAATACTTAAAAGCTAACCAATAATATATTTATTTTTCTAAAATAAACCTTTTTTAATTAAACATTTATTAAATCTTTTATCAGCAATTCAAAGTTTTTTAATAAATGTGCGCCATTTATTTTCAAATACTTTTTGAAAATTCTTCGAATTTATTTCAAAAGATTATGCAAACCTTAAAACTTAGCTATTTATCTTTTAAGCGAACTAATTTTCTCCATTCCCAAACGCTATTTTTAAGGAAAAAAAAAAAAATTAATTACGGTATATTGTTTTTAGTTTAGAAGAACTACGTTAATATTTCTTTATTTTTTTACGTTGTCCATATGTTAGCTCAACATTAGAATGTTAGGTTAATACTTCTATGTTTTTTTAACGTTGTGTGAACGTTAGCTTAACGTAAGAATATTACGTGAAAAAGATTGCGTATATGTGTGTGTATATATATATATATATATATATATATATATATATATATATATATATATATATATATATATATATATATATATATATATATATATATATATATATATATAAATATATGTATATATATGTATATATATATATATATATATATATATATATATATATATATATATATATATATATATATATATATATATATATATATATATATATATATATATATTATGTAATTATATTGTAATACGTTGTATTACAAAAACGTACCTATGTAATGCTACATCAAATGTGTTCAAAATTGAACTTTCGAACCTTAGGCCAAAATTTTAACATTGAGGTTCGAGCTTTTTTCTCTAAAAAGCTTAAATTTTTAAAAAAAAATGCTTTAAAGTCATTTCGATAAATTCAGCTGAAATATAAACACAAATTGATGTTTTAAATTATGTTTTTTCCATTTTGATTTATTTGTAGTTTTGTATGTACGATGTATTTAAATATTAGAAAACTGTGTTTGTCTGTAATGTGTTTAGTTTTTTTTTCATGTGTTTAAATATTAGAAAACTTAATTTTTTTTAAATGTATTTAAATATAAAAAAACTGTGTTTGTCTGCGATGTATTTAAATATTAGAAAAGTGTTTGTCTGACCCCTCTAACAATACAAACGGAATAACGTCACGTGTAAAACCATTGCAATTCAGAATGTGTCAGTTTTTTTCTCGTTAAAAAGTAAATAAAAAGTAACCGTTTGACCAATGTTTATTTACGTTTTGAAAAAATAAAAACTAGATACAAGAAACGTCAGATTTTTTTTTAAAGACCATCTTTGTCTTTTCTGTGTTCAAATCCCCAAGAATAGTTAGCACACACAGATTCAGAAGATTGTCGTATATTCAGTGCAGAATTCTAACCTCAACTGCAGAAGTGATTCTACAAATAAAATGAGGGAAGGGGAATTAAATCCTTAAAAAGTACCGACTCTTTCTTTAAAAAAAAAAAGCCTCTAAACTAAAGTTTTCCCAACTTAAGTATGTCAAGACCTTAAAGATATCTCTAAAATTTTGTTGATCAAGTTCTGATTAGAGAGCAATTTTTGAAATAAACAAAAAAAATTACATTGTTTTATTTATGCTTCAATTAAATAAAAATAAAATATCAAAAAGTGAAAAAGTTTTAAATAAACCTAGGGTTATAAAAATACATTTGTTTATCTATTTGATAACATCAAATAATAAATCTTTAGGTTATTAAACTTTATAAAGACTGGCGTGCATCATTTTCAGCTATCTTTATTTATGGAAAAATTCCGAGTGGTAGGATAAATGCATCTATACAAAGTTACTCTAAATGGAGTTTTTGTTATGGAGATCCAGTATATAAAGTTAATCAAATAAGTATAAACGTGCCCATCATAAAAAAACATATGACATCAGGTAAATTTTTTATAAAAACTATTAGCTATGGTTACATAGAGAGTCTTGCATGGTAGTCACAAAGTTTTTCCTATAAACTGTTGTTTTAAAGAGCGCGTTAAAAAGCACAAACACTCACACACACACACACACACACACACACTCACACACATATATATATATATATATATATATATATATATATATATATATATATATATATATATATATATATATATATATATATATATATATATATATATATATATATATATATATATATATATATATATATATATATATATATATATATATATATATATATATATATATATATATATATATATATATATATATATATATATATATATATATATATATATATATATATATATATATATATATATATATATATATATATATATATGTATATATATATATATATATATATATATATATATATATATATATAATAATTAAATGCTTTTAATTTTATTAGTCAAAAAAGTTGTGCTTAACAACTTTGAAAATAAAGAATTATATATTATTACTTTTATTGTTATCAATTACAACTTATAGTATTTATGGTGTCTTTAAATGTAAAAACGCTAATTATTGTTGTAATACTTGATTTCTGTTGCAGTTCAAACATCAAAAAAAAAAAATTATCTTGGATATAAAGTTCATTTTGAATAAAGAAAATATCTAATGTCTAACCACAATTTTGCCTCTGAGATCAGTATTATAATTCTCTAGTTTTTACATATAAAGTCACATTTTATATTCTTATTGATCTAAGCAGAGCTAAGCGAGCCTTTTTTAATAAAATATTTTTTACTATGAGTTTTTAAACTACTTTTTTGACTAGTTAATTGTCTATTTATTATCGACATATTTATTCATCATTAACAAATATATATAAAAGTGCATTTAATTTTTTACATTAAATGCAATTTTTTAAGGTTTAGATTTAAAATCAAAGTTTATGCTAGATGATGATTATTTTATTCTGTGATAAATTCATATTGCAATCTAATTTTTAAAGCTTAATCTTAACAATTTAAGAATAAAAATAAGAAAAATGTTTTTTTCATATTTTTTGATAATGTTAATTACAATTAAAAATATGTATAGTATTTAATTTTTATATGTTTAAAGGTTTGTAAAATGTGAAGGTATGTAAAACGCATTTAATAAGGGAGCAAGTCTTGTTGTGCACATTGATTTTTAAAGATATATTTAAAAAAGGATTTGCTAATAAAATTACCAAGTTTTTACAAATCTCGTAATTTCGACAAGTATCTCTAAAATGTGATAGCTGAGTCTTAAGGTAAACATAATAACTATAATAGGAAACGACCATACCTTGGCAGACCATAATTTTGTTAAATTAATAAAACTCTAAAGTGAAATTATAAATCCTGTTTTAAAATAAATTTTTTTATTAAAATAGAAAACTAAACTACATCTTTTCTAATTTATCCAAAGCTTTTCATCAAGAGTAAAAAAAAACTCATGTACGCACTTCATCTATCACCATCACTGAAATCAGTCACTTTATTTAAAACAAGTCAATCTCACCATTTTACTTATCTTATGCAAAACATTTATTTGTTTTCCAAAAAAAGTTTAAAATAAATACTATTATATATTCAAAGACTTCAAAATAAATACTATTAGGTTTTAGAATATTTGTCAAACTGTGCTTTTTTCATTGTTAAATACAAAAAATAAAGTAGCTCTTTCTTGCAAAGTAGTGACCATAACTTTTTAGTATAGTTTTGTGCTTATACTTGTTGACTTTTTTATTGGTTTAATGTTTTAATTGAACTTATCAAAACCATTTATCAAATTTTAAATATAGTAAAATATACATATCTTCAGGTTAGAAATATTTTGTCTCCACATTTTTTTATTTTGAGATAAAACAATTAAAAAATTAAAAACGCCATATAAAAAGATTTTTATTAGTTATGTTTTCTCCTAAACATTTTTGATTTTAAATTAGGTTTTAATATAGTAGAAATACATTATTTTGAGATACATGACTTGATCATTAACTCAATTTTTTCAAAAAGTGTAGATAAAACAAAATAATTATAACCTGAAAAAATGTAATAATTTTAAATTTATATATATATATATATATATATATATATATATAATATATATATATATATATATATATATATATATATATATATATATATATATATATATATATATATATATATATATATATATATATATATATGTATATGTATATATATATATATATATATATATATATATATATATATATACATATATATAAATATATATATATATATATATATATATATATATATATATATATATATATATATATATATATATATATATATATATAATATATATATATATATATATATATATATATATATATATATATATATATATATATATGTAATAATTTTAAATTTTGCATTCACTGTTTTACATTCAAAACCTTGCTTGTCATTACTTGTTGAGATAATACTTAATTTGTGAAAAGGTTTTGTTTATTGTAATTTTTCAAAAAAACTAGATTGTAAGAGTTTTGTTTATTATTTCATAATATTTTTATTAGTTGTCAAAATGAATCCAATATGGTATCAAAGTCAAACGAACAAAACATTTTTACAGACTGAAACATATCAGTTTATTTGCACAAACATTCAAAAAAGGTACAGTTTATACTGCTTTCTTTTTTGGTCATATTGTTATAAATAATAGGCAAATAATTATCAATTATTAAATATAAATTCATTTTAATATAGAACTTTTTTTTTTATTATTATTATTTTCTCTAGCTTTATTTATTTAGATATCCAGGAACCAAAAACTAAATGTAACTTGTACCATAAAAAAATAGTTTTCAAACTATTTTTTTTTTCTTATGCCTAAGTATTCCAATATAAAAAAAAAATGTTTTTTTTTTTTTATAATTTCTATTAAAACGTTACAAACAGGTTTAAGTAATTAATGAAAAAATATAAGTGACCTTATATTTTTAAAAGCCAATATATAAATATATTTCAATATAAATTTAATTTTCTTTTAATTCACTTCTTTATACAGGCCCACACAAAGACTGTGTGGTGCCCAGGGTCAAACCTTGTTTGGTGCTCCAATTTTTGGATTGCTGGGTATACTGAATTAAACATGAATTTCACAATCTTCCGCATGTCTGCTATCACAGTACAATTTAATGAAAATAATAATTACTTTTGTAATAACTATTGCTGCGCATTATCACTCTTTACTTGAACTTGGTTAAATATGATTAACCGAAAATATAAACACAATTTCAAATGATTGGAATTATATTTTTATCAATAAAATGTTAAATATGAAAACTAGTTACATCACACTAATCTACCCTTCCTCAAGCATCATCTATGACAGCTAAAAAGATTTTAAATGTTTTCATAATTGCTATTACATTCTAAGCTTAACAGTTCATGGCTACTTTCAATATTTAAACCTATGTGCAGTAAATAGTTCACCATTTAGACAATCGCAAATTGTCTAAAAGGATTCCATTAATTACCAATTCATATTGATATATCAGACAAATTAAAAGTTAAATCAAATTTTTGACTAATGTACTATATCAATTATTTAAATTATTACTAAATTATGTAAAATAAAAATCATTGACAGATCAAAAATGTCATCTAATCAATATCAACTAATTTTGATGAAACAATAAAAAAAAATAGAGTTTGAAAGAAACAGACGCTTTAAACATGCCTTTTTTGTCATAAAATGTTCGAAATATTTACTTTAGAAATGTATTAATAATATCTAATACTAGTGCAAAATATTAAAACTGCCCAGGTTCTTTAATATACTTTGTTATTATATTTAAATATTTACAGCATAAATCCACTATAACATAAAAACAAAATTATCATTATATTCAAACGATAGACTCATTAAAAAGCAAATGCTTTAATAATGTATTCAATGCTATAATTATTACCAATAAATTTATTAAGGATTTTCACACCAGTTACAAGGATATTAGACAGAGTATTTATACTCTGTCTAATATCCTATACCTTTAAGTCAATTTAAAGCGGGAGTTGCCTTTTTGGAGTTGGCGCGAAGACCTAGTTCTAATAAGGTTATACAACTTTTGAATGTTGCCAAAATACTTGATGACTACAAAGGAAAAATTTGCATAATGAACCCCAGCCATATTGATACTACACACACTGCAAGACATGAACAAAGCTTGAGGTTTTTCTCGAGAATGGTGATTAATTTTAAAAAAATATTTTATGTTACATAGTTTATATGTAACTTGTGGACTTTGTATCCTATTATATGCATTATAATCATTCGTATTTAATTTTTTATAAATGGTTTTTGGCTATATACATAAATATAGGTGTATCATACATCTATAAATGAAGATAAAAGTAGTGTTGGGTGAATTCTATTTTTGTTCCGAAAAAAATGAATACAGTGTAGGCATTTGGGTCTGCATAAATTATGCAGGACTTAATTGCTATCGTTTATTTGAAGGTTTACTTAATGCTGATAAATATATTGAAATTTTAGATAATTGTCTTTTTTAATGCTTATTTGAGAAAGATGGTTCCATAAAATAATGAAATGCTCTTTTTTATGTTTTTTCTTTTGTATATTATTGTTTTGATATAATGTTTAAAATATATCCTTAACCTTTGTCCAATTTTTTTTTTAATTTAAAATATGTTTCATTATTTTTTACTTTTTGGTATCTAAATCATTACGTTTAGATCTTTTTTTTTTTGGATTTAATGCATAACGCATATTTTACTTTTAATATTAAAAAATAAAAAAAATAAAAGTATTTTAGTTTTCAATTTAATATAATCTGAATTAAATTTTTATAAAAAAAATCATTGAGCTCGTATTTGAATCTTATTATGTGTGTGTGTGTATAAAATATATATAATATATATATATATATATATATATATATATATATATATATATATATATATATATATATATATATATATATATATATATATATATATATATATATATATATATATATATATATATATTATATATGTATATATACTTATTATGTGTGTGTGTGTATAAAATATATATAATATATATATATATATATATATATATATATATATATATATATATATATATATATATATATATATATATATATATAGTATATATATATATATATATATATATATATATATATATATATATATATATATATATATATATATATATATATATATACATATATATATATATATATTATATATATATATATATATATATATATATATATATATATATATATATATATATATATATATATATATATATATATATATATATATATATATATACATATTATATTTATTATTGTTAGTTTTCTGACAAAAATCATTAACAACAAAAACTCTAACTTTTGGAAAAAATCTGTAATCTGATGTTGCTTTAAAATATCCATCTTCATTTAATCCTCAAGTTTTAGTGCTAGGGATTCAATTTCATTTCCGTATTTTGAGCTGTATAGCGAAGCATTTTGAATTGTTTCAAACGCAATTTCTAATTGAATATCAGATAGGCGTGGTTGGGCTTCGACGTCAATAGCTTCGTCAACGCTATCTTCAAATTCATTATCGTCGTTTTCAAAATAAGGGTTTAAAATCTGAGCAATGATTTCAGCATCAGTAGCAAGTGAATCGGTGGTTGCTACATCGCAATCTAAACCAATGTAAAATTCCGCTGAGAGATCTTCTTGGACGGCACGAGGATCTAACTCTTGAAAACGGTTAAACTCTTCTGTCAAAAATTTAAAAGGATGATCACCATCAGCTTCTTCAATACTCTTGTTTGTTTTGCTGATACCAGCTTTTTTAAAGCAGTTGATGACAGTCTCCTTCGACACAGCATTCCACGAAGAAACAAGATCTTTCATTGCTTGAAGTATAGAAATTTTTGGCATGGGTTCGTTATTATCGACAGCCTTAATACACAAACGCAAAATTTTGTGACGATAATGAGCTTCAAGACTTCGTATTACGCCTGGATCCATGGGCTGAAGGACAGATGTGTTGTTAAAGGGGAAAAATATTAGGTTGATCTTGCTTAGCCCTTCAATGTGTTGGTGGGCAGAGCAGTTATCCACCAGGAGTGCTACTTTCCTGTCTTGAAAACGAAAAAATGAGTCAAGTTTCATTACCCATTCTGTAAAAAGGTCTCCGGTGATCCAACTTTTCAGCTTATTTTTATATGTGCAAGGATGTTGTTTAATGTGCTTAAAACACCGTGGGTTTTAAGATTTTCCAATAACAAACATAGGTAATTTTCTCCCGTTGCACTCCCTGCTGCTATGCCTGTTAGTCTGACTTTTTTCACGTGATAAATGGTATGTTTTGTTTGGTAGGCACTGGTAAAATAGTCCAAACTCATCGGCATTGAAAATGTTTTCAAGTTTGTAATTCAAAAGCAATGTTGGAAGCGTAGTTTCATTCCACAAAGCAGTCATATTATTTGTCACGGCGGCCCTTTCGCCTGAGATTATTTCAAAGCTAATGCTGTCCCTAAAAATAGGAACAGAATAATTGAATTTTAATTACACGTTTAAAAAAATAAATTAATTAAATATAAACGAATACATGTTATTTGATTATATTAAAATTGAACAAGATTTGACAAAATTTAACTGACCTTTCTTTCCAATTATGAAACCAACAATCAGATGCTTTAAAATTCAACTTTCGTAATGCTTCTGCGAATTTTAGGGTATTTTCTTTTAATATGGTACAAACAATTATATATATATATATATATATATATATATATATATATATATATATATATATATATATATATATATATATATATATATATATATATATATATATATATATATATATATATATATATATATATATATATATATATATATATTATATATATATATATAGTATATATTTATATATATATATATATATATATATATATATATATATATATATATATATATATATATATATATATATATATATATATATATATATATATATATATATATATATATATATATATATACATATATATATATATGGATAAATTGTTAATCTACAAGAAAAATTGAAATATAAAAAAATTTCTACGCCTAATATTAATTTAAAGGATTTGGAAACAATAAACAAAACACTAAAGTAGCTATTGCTTTAATCACACTTTATTCATTTTTAGAGGTTTTATATTTTGTTTGAAACATTGTATTATGTACTAAGTTACTTTTATTATAACTTTCTTTTATTAAACGGTAAAAGCATATTTAATGGCTAAAAATAAGAAAAAGTAGCTCGCCGTCAATGGAATTTTATTTTTTATTTGGTATCTGTAGCTATTTTTAAATTTTTTGAAGTTTACAAACTCTACTGCGCTAACGTAAAATAACTTTTTAACTATTTTTCAAGTCTGAACGACCTTGAAATGGTTCGCCTACATTTTTATTCCTCAGGCCTTCTCTTAGGCGTGCAATCGCCTACCTAAGAGAAGAAGGCGTGTTTTTGCAAGTTTTGTTAATTTGCGCATTTAAAAAAAAAAAGGAAATTAAAATAAACAATCCATAAACCGAAAAGAGAATAAAATCTATAAAATAATATTTAATATAAAAATTATCAAAAAAAAAAAAAAAAAAAATATTCAAGGAAATTGAAAATAAAAACCAGAAAAAAAAATCAAAACATTTATTAATTAGATTAGAATTCTGGTTCAAAATGGAAATTAAAATAAACAATCCATAAACCGAAAAGAGAATAAAATCTATAAAATAATATTTAATATAAAAATTATCAAAAAAAAAAAAAAAAAAATATTCAAGGAAATTGAAATAAAAAACCAGAAAAAAAAATCAAAACATTTATTAATTAGATTAGAATTCTGGTTCAAAATGAAAAGTTTTAATGCTTGTTATTATAAAAACCAATTCGTTTGGAAGGAAGTATAGTCTTTTAAATTAAATCCCCCTTTGCAGTAATATAGTACAAAACTGATAAATCTTCTTGGAATACTAAAATGACTAAAAAAAAAATAAAGAAAGAATTGATTTTTAACTGCACAAAAAAAACTTTATAAAATGTTATTTTAAATAAACATATATAATTACAGGGTAATACATTTACATAGGGTAAAAAGTTTTTGCAAAATTTATATGTATTTTAAAACGGATTATGTATACATTTGCTTTTATATAAACACAGACAATATGTTGACAGGACTCGGTGATAAGACAGTTTAAGTCTTCTTGTTACTCCGGCCTAAATATATATATATATATATATATATATATATATATATATATATATATATATATATAATATATTATATATATATATATATATATATATATATATATATATATATTATATATATATATATATATATATATATATATATATATATATATATATATATATATATATATATATATATATATATATATATATATATATATATATATATATATATATATATATATATATATATTATATATATATATATATATATATATATATATATACAAACAGGCAAGTATCAAACGGCAAAATATAAAGAAAGAAAGATGATTTGCATATTTTTAAGCAAAAAAGTTCAAGATAAAATAGAAGATTTTTTTTTCTGTAAGATAATATCTTACAGAAAAAAAAAAAAAATACTTTTAAAAGAGTTTTTTTAAATCAGTTTTAGTTTTATAAACAGTCTTATTTACATATATAATTTGAAACTGAATTAAAAAAAATGTGTGTAAAAATTCTGGGTTCCCTTGAAAATATTTTTGTTGTTGTGGTGTAAGTGTTTTCGCATGTAAGTATAACAGATTGAGGCCTAATCGAACCATATAGGCGAGATTGGTGAAGAAAGTGTCAAGAAGAATATTTAGCTCTACCCCAACCTTTGGTCCTTTGACAGGATTATTAGGCCTTCTTGGATAGACTTAAAAACTAGTTGAAATAATATGTATTTTGGTAAAAATAATAACTTTACTTTAATTCTGTTATGAAGACTCCAATTATTACATTTAAAAGTTGTAAATTTATAAAAATCATTTACAAATGTTGCTATTGTTTTTGTTTGTTTTTTTAATTTCAAAACTAAAACATTCATAAAAAGTTTTTATTTTGTAGATCGGATTAAGTTTTTTTTGTGGTGAATAATTTACTTATATATTTCCTTACAGATTTTTTAAATACTTTAGCATCGTTACATTATTTTTATTACATGCAGTTTGTTTTTGCTAGACAGCCAAGTCCTTGCTATCAGCGTGAAATTTCAACAGGATTAATTACGTGTAAGTATTTGTTAAACTATTTCTTAAATTGTAGATGCTTTGTTAATAGTTATGTTGATTTAGTTCTTTAATTAATAACTTTTTGTTCTTTAACAATTACTTTTATATACTTCTCTAATTAAAAATTATTAAACTATTATACATAAAATATTTATATCAATATTATTATTAAGTATAGATAATAGTTGTTAGTAGTAAATAAGAGTTGGTAAGTAAAAGATATTAAACATAGAATAAAATGATTATAAATATAAAAATTAATTTTGAATTATTAACTAACAAAGTCTATAACTCATAATAATAATAATGATAAGAAACCAATAGAATAATAAAAATGTTTTATATATAACAATAATAAGAGTAACAATAAAAAACATTTATATTAATAATAATATATAATATTCAATGATAAATAAAAATAAAAAATAACATAATAAAAATAAAAGTAGTAATAATAGTAATAATAACACGTAGCAGTAATACGAGTTAGTAATAAGTAAATAACAATTTAACTTGATATATTATCTGAAAATTATAAAGTACAAATTAATCTATATATAAGGCTGACATTATCCCAGTTTTTCTGCCAAAGAATGCTATAAAAGTTTTAATTAGTTTAGCATTGTGCAATCCACCGTTAAAAACGGGATAAAGACAGCCTTATCTATAAAATAATAATCTTTTTGGTTTTGCTCTCTTTTATTGGTCTTGGCATTAAATAAAGACCACGTAAGTAAAGATATTACGTTCTTTCTAATAAAAGCAAGCAGCAGAGAAGGAAAGCCAAGTACAACTAACCAATACCTAAAAAAAAAAAAGGGAGAAGAAAAAAGTCATCTTAAACTACAAAATCTTTATTTGACATATATATTGATGTGTTCATGTATTAGTGACTCGTAAAACATTTGTTAAACATGGTCATTATAAATTAGAGTACCAAAATATACATGAGCTTATTAATAAAATAGTGTTCCAATAGGACTCTCCTTTATTAACAAACTTTTGTTAAACAGAGAGAAAGCAGACTGTGTTTCAAAGGCATGTGTTAAATAAAAACGTTTGAATAAATTATTATATTTATAACTTAAGTCATTGCTTTTAATAACAATGACAGAAAAATATATATTAGCACAAAATAGCTATAGCACAATTACCATTAAAAAAAGACTTTTTAATGTTATTACTAAACAAATTATTTTACCTCAATAGTTTAGATTTCCAATTTCTTCATAACTGTGAATAATGATTAACACAGTAAATTTCATATCATATAAATTCACTAAATTAAAACCAAGTTTCAACTGTAAGCAAACTAATTAAGGAACAGCATATTAAAGAGATAATTGCTTAAACTTAAAAAAAAAATGAAAAATCATTTTATGATAATTATAATTACAATTTTCAATGAATCACACCACCACTTTCATGAACGCCATTAATATTATTCACAAACGCAAACCGCAGACTATTAGCTTGTCATATAGAGAAACTACATGTAAGTGATTTTCTTAAATTATTAGTATCTAAAAATATCTTAAATTGCGCTATTAAGAATGGTAAAGATTCTTTTAAAGTCTACATTGATCCAGAAGAATATACTAAATTAGGTCAAAGCAATATTACTATCAATAAAAATTATACAATGATAACAGAGATGAAAGTTTTGAGTTATGAAATTAATAATCTTAAAAATAATACAACTAGTTATTCAATTTTAAACAAATAAAACCTAGTTTTAAGGGAAGAGTTGTCAAAATCAAGAGAAATTATAGAAATATTAACACAAAACTTAAATGAAAAGTCAACCATAAATAATTCTAAATCGCCTTATTTATCAGCTAACAATAATTTTAAAGAATTACAAAATAATCTAACAGCTAATGACTTTCTTCAAACGGATGTTATCAGTAAAAAAAAAAAAATAATTAGTTCGTTTGACAAAATCGGTGAAAGATCAGTTATTTCAAACATTAAATATTGTTTATCTAACGAGTTATCCATAGTTAGAAACCAATTCAAAAAAGATTATTACAGTTTTAAAAGTACCAATAATATTAAAGATTTAATGGCAAAAAATATGTCTAGTAATGTTTTAGCTCAAAATTCAAGTAATAAATTAGATAACATTAAAAGCCAGTTAGTTTCAGTAAGACAAGAGAAACACGCTGATTTCTTAAAATACAAATAACAGGAAAATATATCTAATCACTCGGTTCTAAACTCTTTTGTTACTTAAAAATTGCTTCAAAAATTCTGTATATCAAGGTAAAAAAAAATGCAAAAAAAAAAAAAGAAAGAGATAAAAAGTATTCAAGAGCGATCGCTCCCGCTTCCCAAACAAGCCTGTTCATAGCAGTCAATGACTTTTATCAATAAAAATCATCGTAATACAAAAGGTTGTTTTGTTTAAGTTAGTAATTTATATAAATTAGCTTCATTGTTTCAAACAGCAATAGTTGCTTTAGTAAGCTAAATGGGCAATAAAAAACACTAGTTGTTATCAAGCAGCTTATTTACAAGATTTTTGATCATACAGATGGAATAAAAAATAAGATAAATTTACTTTATTACTATGTGCTGGTCAAAAAATTGATGTTGATTTTGAAATAAAAGAATACGCTACAGTTGACCCTTGGTATCTCGGCAATTCGATATCTAAAATTTAATTGTATCTCGAATTTTTCGGTATCTTGCGCGTTCATTTCAGATTTCAACCAAAATCTTTTCGATATCTTGAACTTTTTTACGGTCCCCTGAGAGTATAAGATACTGAGAGTCAACTGTACTCGCTACTTGAGTTCCACAAGTTTAATCCGTTTTTTCAAGTCTTAAAGCATAAGATTTGTTATCAAAGAAACTATTCAAAGTAAAAATTTGCTATTTAAAGTCATTCCGATAAATTTATACTGTAATCTAATTGTTAACATTTTTATTGATGGAGAGCCAGGTAAATTAGGTATTAAATAACGATTAAAACAACTATTCATTGCTTTCTTACTTATTTTTCTGTAGATTCTTTAATAGTTGTCACAAATGCACCTTACAAAAGTATATTTAATTCAGTTGACTGAAAATGGCTCTATTATTATATCAGGTTTCAGGGCTAATTTAGTCTTAATAAACTTATGAATCTTGTTTAGAATTCTGTTAAAATACCGAACTTTAAATTAAAGCTAATAAATTGTTAATATATTGCGAAGCATTAGTTGATGTGTTTTTCAATGTATATTAATAAGATTGTAACTTACTAAGAATTTATTAAATTTATTAAACCGTAGCAAAAACAGTATTTTAAGAGAGTAAATATGGAACAAGCAAAATTCATTAACAATTTCTGACGAAGAGCTTTCTGAAGGCACTAAATCAAGATTGTAAGTAGTATAAATCCCTATTTGGTCATGATTTAGAAATATGCTGTCTCTGTGGATTCTGCAAAGCTGTTCAGATACTAGAAAACAACCAGGAAAACATTTATTTATACTTTCATACTGGTGTCTTGTTACTTCTTGGAGATCTTTTTGTTTTTCTCTTCCATAATTTGTTAGAAGAACTTCATGGCATGGATGTAAGCATTGCTTTGGTGCATATTAGTATCTGTCATAATTCTGTTTCTGAAAAGCTTATGTAATTTGTATATTACTTAGTTCTACATGTATTTGCGACTCAACAACATTTTTTTTTTGGTAAAACGATCAGCAAACACTTGTGTTAACTCGTCGCATTTAAATAACCCAGTCAGTTTTGATCTTAAATGTTACCGACATGAACCTTTAATGAACAAACCGTATTTTGAAGTAGCAGGAGAAACTCTCCCGGAAAAATCCCCATCCCCAAAAGAAATCACTCGAAAAAAAATCCACACGAGAAAAAATCTCCCATAAAAATATCCCTAAAAAATTTTTTTTCCAAATTCAAAATTATCATTAAAATAGTTATAATTATTTATTTCAAAAGTTTTATAAAATACTTTAATTTTCATCAAAAAGTCAAGTTATGCGCTATTCCTAGTTTGTCAGTAAAATGCAAACTGCGAACCTGTAACAGTTATTCTTTCTTGAAAACGTATGAAATACTAATATAAACCTTGATTAACCAAAGAATTGGTGCTCAAAAGTACAAAATTTGAGTTATTAAACGAACCTTGGGTATTTTTTATGTAACGTAAAAAGTAAGTTAAAGATATTTTAGAAACTCAATTTCTTCCATAATGTATACAACTTGATATTATAATCGTTTAAAACGCAGCACTCATTGCAAGCAACTTTTTTAACTGCATAAAGTTGCTACATCGAGACATATATATATATATATATATATATATATATATATATATATATATATATATATATATATATATATATATATATATATATATATATATATATATATATATATATATATATATATATATATATATATATATATATATATATATATATATATATATATATATATATATATATATATTTACATATATATATATATATATATATATATATATATATATATATATATATATATATATATATATATATATATATATATATATATATATATATATATATATATATATATATATATATATATATATATATATTATATATATATATATATATATATATATATATATATATGTATATATATATATATATATACCCAGTCGGCAAATAAAGTTAAAATAACGTTGAGATATCGTTGAAACCTAACGTTGAATTGACGTTGGTTTAACGTTTAGAATGAAAGTGTTTTTCAACGTTGATTTATCAACGTTAAATTAACGTTAGATTCAAACGTTATATCAACGTTGATTCGACGCGATAAAGAAGTTACAACAACGTTAAATTTACGTTGATACAACGTTTAAAATGATAGTTTTTTTAACGTTGATTTATCAACGTTAAACGACTGTATAACACTTTTTCACCATCAAAACGTGCTATGTATGTAATGTGTTTAATGTGGCCATTTATTAATGGTTTAACGTCCATGTTTATACACTT